TCGATTCCCCTTGATGGAATCGACTCTCGATTCCCAACGCCTCGGCATCGAGGAATCGATTCTTTTTGGAATCGATTCTTTTTGGAATCGATTCCCAGTCCTACCAAATCCGCTAGATTAGAGGAGGCGCGGAGTTTCACAACAGAGTTGCTTTCATGCGTTTGGAGCGGGCTTGCTTTTAATCCAGGACCGGAGGAAGTACGACCTGTGAAGACTGTTATTGTACAGGAGATACACACATTCCATCAGCCTCTTGTCAGACTTTATTTAAAGAGAAAGAGAAACAAATACTGTCCAGAACTGCGAGGAACAACAACAACAACCTCATGACTTGCCTCGAAAGAGCCAGACGCCGGATTTATTCAAATCAAACTCGCCTTTACACGATTGCACACAGTAGATTAACGCATTTTAATGATTTGTTTTTATTGTAAAAATATGATTTACTGGATCTCCGAGCAAAGAAAAGCTAGAATTAAGAGTCTTTTTTTTTTCTTTGTCTGTGCGTTATTGCATTGACATACTGATCGCTAAATGATATCAAACTCTCCAATTATAACGTGCAAAGACCAGCATGTCTACACTCAGACTATTTCCTGATTAGACAAGAGTCTGACTAGTATTGAATTGCAATGGGAATGCAATAGGAGTTGCATTGATTGATTTACGCCGGTCTAGACATTAGCTGGAAGAAATCTCCCCTTGTCAACCGACCAGAGAAAGAGAATGTACTTCTTTAATTTCCGAAAAATCTTTAAATTGGGCGCAGAGAAGAAGAAGAAGCACTATGATCACGTGCACAGGGACGCCAATCCGGAGGAAATCTGGGAGATTGTGGGAGAACTGGGGGATGGAGCCTTTGGAAAGGTGTTCAAGGTACAATAAAAGCAAAGACATTGTGTAATCTTCTCTTGCTGTAAGATTATATCTGTTTGATGTGATTTTGGACTCCAGTAGTTTTCTTATGAATAGAATATAGTGTTCCCTACATGTAATGCACTTGTAATGGAATTGCTCTATTGATATCTATTTATTTTATACACTAATGAAAGTGCTGAAAGTTTCTGAATTCTTTGAGATTTATGATGTTACCACTTGCATGAGATAATCAAGCTCATACCCCTGGTTGTCATTCACATGACCTCATCCTGTAGTGTCCAGTCTGCTTGAATGTTTTCTCCTCTTGTTCCCTTGAATGCTTTCTCTGTTATAAGGCCTAATGCTGCTTGGTTTGTTAGTGGGATAGGGTGATTTGGAGATTAGGTCTAAGGCCATAACCTCTATATACTGTACAGTCAAAACACTGACATTAAAACTTCATGCTTCCATTTAGTATGATGATGATGGTAAGTTAAAGGGATAGTTCACCCAAAAATGAAAATTAGCCTATGATT